CCCCCCCCCCCCCCCCCCACACACACACACACACAGAGTCAGGTGGACCATGGAGAAGCAGTGACCTCAGACCATCTGCTCCTTCCAGATTCACCACTGGAGGAACATCCAGGAGTGAAACCACAGCAGATAAACCTCCTGATGTCACCGACACACTTTCTGTACAGCTGTGTGTGTGTGTGTGTGCGTGTGCGCGTGTGTGTGTGCGTGCGTGCGTGCGTGCGTGTGTGTGTGTGTGTGTGTGTGTGTGTGTGTGTGTGTGCGCGTGTGTGTCCAGTGGATAACGTCAGCGCTTTGGGAGAGGAGTGTTTCATTAGAACCAGTACCATTAAAACCCGTTGGCCCAGTCTGGGTTCTGGCTCTCGTGGCTCCTCTCAAACTTTACGAGGCCAGTCGGGATCTGAGATCGATGCAGCTGAGGTTCGGCCACGCTCCGCCGCTCACTGAGCACCTTTATTCTGAACGGACCGACTCACCTGGGTGTGAACACAGAACAGCTTAAGCTCAGAAATATGAGCCGAAATGTTTCCTGTGAGCCGGAGGCAGACGGTCCAAATGATGCTCCAAACCTTCACACCCCCGGCCGGTCGAAACCTGCTGATGTCAACATGTGTGTAATCTTCAGAGTCAGATTAGCTGAATGTAGAGCAGCTGATGCTGATAATCTGATGAAACTTTAACCAGTTTAATCCCTGCACCTGAACGTCAGGAACTCCTCCTCGTGTGCCGTTTGTCCAAAGGTTGGACCATGAAACAGACATTAAAATGATAAACTGTAAAAACCTGAGATAATACACGACACGTGGACAACAGGCCTGTTCCACAAACATGAGCTGGATTTGTGTTTATTTCAACTAATAGATTAATAATCTTAATCTCTGATTGAGAGGAGATTACGAATGAGTCTTGAACCAGACTGAGTGGTCGCATGAAAACCCGATTCATAAGGCCACAAGGTGTCCGCATAAGAACCAGACTGAGGTGGCGTTCACACCAAAACCAGATTTATGATGAGTTTGCATCAAATCCAGGGTCCTGCCCTGTTCACATCAAAACTAGATTTATAGATTTGCATTGTGCTGATATCAGAACCAGATTCAGGTTGCCATATGTTAAAACCAGATTTACACCATGTTCACATCAAAACTAGATTTATAGATTTGCATTGTGCTGATATCAGAACCAGATTCAGGTTGCCATATGTTAAAACCAGATTTACACCATGTTCACACGAAATCTAAAGTAATGCCACATTCACATCAAATCCAGATTGACACTGCATGCACATCAAAGCCAGATTCAGGGGTTCACATTGGGTATAAACAATATTTCCTGTTGAACTAGTTCTGACAGATGTCAATCAACCCTTTATG